TCGGTAGGTGCTTGGAGTGGCTCGATCAATAGGTGCTTGGAGTGGTTGAGTCGGTAGGTGTTTGGAGTGGCTCGACGGGTAGTTGCTTGGAATGACTCGGTCAGTAGTTGCTTGGAGTGGCTTGGAGGGTAGAGGTTGTTGGAGTGGCTTGGTCAGTAGGTGCCTGGATTGGCTCGGTTGGTAGGAGTGGCTCGGGAGGTATAGGTGCTTGGAGTGCCTCGAGCGGTATAGGTGCTTGAAGTAGCTCTGTCGTTAGGTGCTTGGAGTGGCTCCGTCCGTAGGTGTTTGGAGTAGCTCGACGGGTAGGTGCTTGGAGTGGCTTGGTAAGTACGTGCTTGGAGTGGCTCGATGGGAAGGTGCTTGGAGTGGCTCGGTCAGTTGGTGCTTGGAGTGGCTCTGTGGGTAAAGGTTCTCGGACTGGCTTGGTCGGTAGGTGCCTGGAGTGGCTCAATCGGTATGCGTTTGGAGTGGCTTAGTCGGTAGGTGCTTGGAGTGGCTCCATGGGTAGGTGCTTGGAGTGGCTCGGTGTGTAGGTGCTTGGAGTGGCTCTGGTTGTAGGTGCTTGGAGTGTGTCGATGGGTAGGTTCTTGGAGTGGCTCCGTCGGTATCGGTGCTTGGAGTGGCTTGGTCGGTAGGTGCGTGGAGTGGCTTGGTTTGTAGGTGCTTGGAGTGGCTCGGTGAGTTGAAATGGCTCGGTCGGTAGGTGCTTGGAGTGGCTTATCTGTAGGTGTTTGGAGCGGCTCGGTGGGTTAGAGTTGCTCGGTCAGTAGGTGCTTGGAGTCGCTGGGCCAGAAGGTGCTTGGAGTAGTGGGCTGGGTAGGTGTTTGGAGTGGCTCGGTGCGTATGTGCTTGAAGTGGCTCGGTGGGAAGGTGCTTGGAGTGGCTTCGTGGGTAGGTGCTTGGAGTGGCTATGTGTGTAGGTGCTTTGAGTGACTCGGTGGGTACTAGGTGCTTGGAGTGGCTCTGTGAGTAGATGCTTGGAGTGGTTAAGTTGGTATGTGTTTGGAGTCTCTCGACGGGTAGGTGGTTCGATTGGCTTGGTCCGTACGTCCTTGGAGTGCCTCGGTGGGGAGGAGCTTGAAGTGGCCCGGTCGGTAGGTGCTTGGAGTGCCTCGGTGGGAAGGTGCTTGAAGTGGCCCGGTTAGTAGTCGCTTGGTGTAACTTGGTGGGTAGAGGTTATTGGAGTGGCTTGGTGGGTAGGTACCTGGAGTGGCTCAATCATTAGGTGCTTGGAGTGGCTCGGTTGGTAGGTGCTTGGAGTGGCTCGGTGCGTAGGTGCTTGGAGTGGCCCG